ATTTTCTCAAACAGCTTGCCTAGGATCGAGGTAAGACTAAATGGCCTATAATTTCCCGGGTCCTCCTTCCTCCCTTTTTTGAAGATGGGAACCACGTTGGCCCTCTTCCAGTCCTCTGGTACCTCTCCAGAGCACCACGAGTGCTCGTAAAGCCATGCCAGGGGACTTGCAATGACCTCAGCCAGTTCCTTTAGAACTCTAGGGTGGAGATCATCCGGACCGGCCGACTTGAAAACGTCCAGCCCCTCCAGAAGCTCCCTAACTAAGTCCTCGCTAACCCTTGGCCCAGGTGTGCCTCCCCTGGGGCCCGAGGGGGGCCCAGCAGGGAGGTGGCTGTTCTGGTCCCTACTTAGGATGACGGAGGCAAAGAAATTGTTAAACATGTTAGCTTTGTCGTCTGGCGTGACAACCAAATTTCCCAAAGCGTCCTGCAAGGGCCCCACACTTTGTGTGCACACTTTTAATGATTGTCTTTTTGTATCTAGGTAGTAGCAGAGAGAGTACCAAATTCTGATTAATCTCTTAGAAATCCTGGATTCTAAATATTTCTGCAAATCATCCTGTTGGTAGAATTAAAGCAGCCATTATTTTAGTGAGATGCTCTGAAGGAGCAGTTAATAAACTGCATTTCCCAGAGCTGTGCCAAAATTATTGAGGATGCACAGGCAAGGAAGTAAACAAATAGCCCATGTTGAATTCAAGCAACTAAAAACTGAGGACAAGTATTAATATTTACAAGAAGACTGCACAGTGAAAAGTCATAAAATATGGACAGTATTCCTTTAAGCAGATATACCAGATTACTAAATTATATGACTGAGGGCCAATGGACTTCTTATATCAGAAGTGTAGAAGTGTGAGCCTGCTGTATGAGCTAGATTAAAGAACTGGGGCTGGGAGGACAGAGAAGGGAATTTTCAAGCCTATTGTATATAATGGCCTAATGCTATTCAGTCACTGTGTTGAGGGTTTAAACCCCATTTTGTCTCAGCTTGCATTGCTGAAATTACAGGTGCAAACTTAGAATGATGTTAATATGTTTTTTTTGTCATCAGCTGACAGCAGCTAATAACTACTGATTCAGGTGCTGGACTCTTAACCTCTTGAAGGTAACCTATTTAGTACTGCACTTTGAATGCCTGCGTTGGGATTTATAGACTCAAGGCTTCCAGCATATGTCTCAGCACTCTTCTGATGGGCTTTTAAAATGAAAATTATGGCATAGTAGAAGAGACGGTGATAGGGAGTGAGTTGTGTATGATCTCTGGTGTTTCTTGGGGTCAAAATAGGAATGACCACTCAGCCACCCTGCCCCAATTTTACTGAGGGTGTTTCCCACTGCTTGACAAACAGCAGATTCAGGCCACCAAGCAGAGAGATGGAGAACCAGCTGCTGTCCCCAGGGAATCTCTGAAGTTAGGACTCAAGGTTCAGGTCTAGTCAGGTGAAGCAGGTGAAATCTGTCTAATTAAGAAGCTCCTAAAAAGAGGTGGCTTCCTAGCATGGAGAACGACAGTAAGCATCTGCAGGGACTCTAGGCTCAAAAAGGACCCTGGTATGTCCTCTCTTTGACATGGGTCTGGGCAAGGTGGCACCAGGTACACTAACAGAGCCTACTGCCTCCCTCTGACATGGGTCTGTCATAGACCATTACTATTTCTGAGTGTCTAGACACTAAGTTGCCAATAATGCTGGAGCTGAAATAATCATTTTAACAAAAGCCCTTCTGTGGTTTGTGAGAGAGCTTCCAAAGTAGGCGCAGGAAGTTAGCTCAGATGCCATTTATGATGCAGTGAAGGCTTCCTCTCCTTGAGTTAGGTAGACACCTAATAAGGCTATGTTGTTTCCACTAACAGTTATACCTCTTTTTCATACAACCTCTGAACTAGAGGTTAGATGTTATACTTTGAAGCCAGTAATCCACAGAGCTATGATAGCTAATACTTTCAAAATCTTCAGTAAACCCTGTAAAATCCTATCAAACAACTTAAAAGGAAACTTTTGGAGGACTTGTTTTTATTTAAGTGACCTTATGGTATAGTACCTCAACATCAGAAGGTGTTTCCATGTGGACAGTTTCTCCTGTATAATGTATATAAAAACTGATTTGTTGTAGAATTACATACATCCAAAATCAAGTCTAATAAACAACTTTTAATATTCTGTATGTGTATGATGTTGAAATAAGCCTTTGTATTACTTTTGGAGGGAACTACAGAAATGTACAATATATGGCTGTTATACATTTATTCTAAGAAACAAAACATGCAGAATTGTTGGGGAAAATATCCTGTCAATGAGACCTGCTAAACTAGGGCTGGGCAAAATGGTGAATCTTGGCTGGCAGCCCAACACCATTTCCCAGCAGCCCCTGCCTGCATCACTGCGGCTGGTTTCCATGGAGATCCCAACAGCAGCAGGGTCATGACAGGGCCAGGGTTTCCATGGAGACTGGCCCCAGCACCACTGTCAGGACATGCAGCGGGCGGGAGCTGCTCCATTACTGGGGCTGGGATCTCGCTGTGGTGACAGCAACGTGTGGGTGGCAGCTTGCAGTTCTGCCCTGGCTCCAGACCACACTGTCACCACTGCAAGATCCCAGACCCAGAGCAGCTTCTCACCCAGCTGCATGTCCTGCCACGGCTGCAGGTACTGGTCTTCATGGAAACCCTGGCCTCCGCTGTCAGAGCCCCACTGCTGCTGGGGTCTCCATGGAAATCAGCCACAGCAATGTGGGCAGGGGCTGCTGGGAAATGGAGTCTGCTGTGGGCCTGATCCGGCCTGCGGGCTCAGTCTTGCCCATCCCAGTGCTAAACTGTGAGGCAGGTTGTTCAGGAAGTAGGTGAGGAAGCCGTATTGTTAGAGTCTTTCCAAACCAAGCATTAGCAGGAGGTCTCGTCCTTCTCTCTTCTGACACTGTTGAAGATTAGTGTCTTACGTTGTGCTCTACTAGATTTGACCACCTGTCTTTTACTGGTAGTAGTACAGTAGACTGAATAATAACTTTACCAATTATTTTTAAGCTTCCAGTGCTATGGTTTTTACCTGTCTCTCTGGATTGTTAATTCTGTTCATGTGATTGGATGTTAAATTTTTTCTCATACCTAGCCCAAGATTACCCAGTTAAAGAACTGAATTGCTGATAACACTTTCAGATATTTTTTAAGTGCTTCAGTATATGCTGAGGAGGAGAAAGTTCTATAAAGGTAGAAATTTATGGGAGGAGATATTTTATGTTTACTAAAATCCATAATGTGAAATATAAGATCAGTTACTTGAAGTAAACTGACTGTCAGGGAAGGAAAAAATTACCGAGCTCCTCCGTATTAGATAAATGGGGCCCGTTGAAATGAAGAGATCTTTTAATGCTAAAGATTGTCTTCAAAGGAGATGGCTTTTTAATACATTTAAAGTTTAGATGAAGCACAAACCAAACTAAAAGCACTTATAATTTATCTCCAAAATTGTATAGAGTGATGTTATTAAATAAATTAACTAGGAGGCTAAGGCATAATTTTATAACTTGCTATTACAGCTGATGCATCTGGAGAGACTAAACTTAGAAAATATTTAATCTGTGAAGTGATAACTCAGTGGTGACTTGATAGAAAAATACCAAATGTTTTTTGCTTCTAGGTCACAGTGGTAAATCCACCCCAGTTTGGTAGGTTACACAGACTGAATTTAAATGTCTCCATCTAGTTCCTAGTGTGTTGGTGTTCACATGGCAGAAAACAACTAGCCCCACAGTTGGAAAATAGTGCTAAGGAATGGTCTGTTTGGGGATTCTGAGCTTAGATAATCAGTACAACAATGATTTTTTGGAAGAGGACTGGCCATGTGACATTGGTGCCTATTCCCTGCCATTGTTGTGAAGGATAAGCAAAGGATTTGGGGCTTTGGCATGGAAAGTTAAGAATTATCTTTAAATATCTCACTGTTCAATATCATATTTACCCAAATTCAAGAGAACCCTGAATTCAAGATGACACTTCAATAATTAGATTCCATACGTGGAAAATGTATACATTTGTTACAATTTCCCATGTACAGAATCTAATTATTGGAGAATTTTCTTAAATTTATCCCCACAACCAGTGCAGCAGAGAATGCAGGCTGTGAGGCTCACGTGGTTGGGGAGCTGGTGGGGGGGCAGGAAGTAGGGAGCAGGTGGGGGGCAAACAGCTAGCCCCTTTGTGGGTGTGTCCCTCCACCCTTAGGGCCCCTCTTACCCATTCTTTGTGCCAGCAGGCTCCATTCCTGCCCTAGCCTGAGGCACAGCTCCAACCCAGCCCTGTAACAGCAGTGCTAACTCCAAGCCACTGCTACGGGGCTGTGCTCCATACCCCCACACTGGAGTGGGGACAGAGCCTGCCGGTACTGGAGGACAGATAAGGTGTGGGGGAGGAGGAAGGCTGTGGGACATGAGGAAGAGGCAGGGGGATACAATGCAGCAGTGGGCAGGCAGCAGCTTTAGCTCTCGCCCCAACCCAGGGTTGGAGCTGGAGGCAGAG